CCCCCCCACTGGTGGGCAGTGGGGGCCAGGAGGGCAGAAATGTTCTCTTCCCTTTCCAGGGCAGACTGTGGTTCTGCAGCTGGCCCAGCATCCTCCTCAGGCTGGTTCCCCTCCAGTTTTTCCCCTATGTCTGAGGGGTGTGTGTGTCTGTGCAGGGCTGGCTGACCTAAAAAGGATGCCCTGGAAGAGCTGGAAGTCCTTATGTACACCCAGAAATCAGGAGAAATATCATCCCTGTGCTCATCTACTCTTTTCTGATGTGCACCATCACAGCTAAGCCACTGCACTCCCTCTTTTCCTCATTTTTGGGCTGGGGAGACAGGGAGAAGTCCTGGCATGATGAAGCTAATGAGGCAGTCACCAGTTCTGCCAACCAAAGGACAAAATCTCATCCTATGTTGGCCCAGCTGATATGATCCTGATGGTCAGGATAACATCTGAACAAGGCTTTTCTCCTAAGCAGATGAATTTGGGGCTGGGATTAACATGGTGAATTCTTCCCAGCATCCCATCCACTAACAACAAAAGGTGTGAAGTGTCTACAGGCTCCTTGTCTCATTAACAGGTGGGTGCTTTTTAAATATAATTAATAATAAATTACTTATACTACATTTATGGCTATATAGAAAAATACTTTAAATTTCAGATCTCTTACATATCATAGGTGAAATCCATCAAAGTAGCTCATAATTTTTGTGCAATACAATAGTGTTTTAAGGGCAAATGGAGGATCCACCTACCTTGGACTGTGATGCTTCTGTTGCTTGGAAATTTTCTCCTTCTCTGCCTCCAGTTTGGATTTAGTTAAATAAATGGGTTGAATTGTCTTTTCAATATATGTCCAGAGTTTAAATTTTTTTAAGTCCCAATGTGCTCTTGCTGAGCAAATTGGAGATGGTCAAAATGCTCACAGGGATAGTAGAGGTGCCACCAATATACTGAGTATTGAACCCAAAAATGGTCATTTTTAGCCACCTGATGACGTAGGTGACATCAGGGAAAGGGGGAAAAAAAAAAAGTGAAGAGGTCAGGAGCAGAATTAGTAAGAATTTGAGAGGAATTCCCCTGCTCTGCAGACAATTTGCCACATTTTGACACAAAGCAACTGTTCCTAATCAATAGTAGTAAAATGCTGTTTGCTGTGAACCACTTCCAGGCAGAACTTTACATGCAGTGAGAACTTTGTGCATGTTTCCTCAAAATTCTGTGGTTTGAATGAACCTGGATGCTTTCTGCAGCTCATGCTTGGCTTTGATCCCATTCTCTCTATGGATACAGAAGAAAAAGATGGATTCTGCTTCAGTCTGTTATAAAATGATCCCTGTGGTGAGAACAAAGCCAGTGCCAATTGTTGTGCTGCTACAAGTGCTGCTTCACCAACAGACACCATTTGTTTTAGTCTCACTTTTCTCTCCCCTGTGATACCTGCTTTTCATCCTCAGAATCTGCCAGGCAGGGGTTGTGTTGCCAGAGGCACCATCATCCCTGGCCAGTCCCACAGCTCTGCTCAGGCACAGCCCCAACCCACCCGTGTTGGTGGGTTCTCCACCAGCAGCCCCTGCTCTTTGCTCACCCTGCTTGTTGCCTCTGAGGACCTGGAGATGTAACCAGGGGCTGTTTGTTCATGCACACACACCATTCCATTTTTGCACTAACCAGGTAACCTTAACTGAGAGAGGTGTAGATGTGGGGGGAGTTATTTCAAGCCCATGTGTGCACAGTTACAGTTGTGTTGTTGTGTGGGACGTTGGTCAGGTTTTCCTTCAAATAAATAATGATTGGTTGAAGAAAAATCTACCCGTGGCAGCTCTGAGAAGCTCCTGGGCTGGTACCAGGACCCTGCACAGCTCCAGGGGTTGCAGGGGGACACTCATTGCATGAGAAGTGGCCCATGGATCTGAGAGCCCATGGGAGAGGTGATAGAATGGGTTTTGTTCTGCCCAGCAGGTCCAAAGGTTCTGCTCTTCCCCTCCTGGTGCACAGGGACACTTGGAAAACAGGTTCATGTAAGTACTTTGGAATTTCCTTGGATAAATCTGTTAAGCAGTTCTGTTTTCTTTATCATTAAATGATTGCTTAGATTGCATTAAACATGTGCAATAAACTGTTTTGATTAGGCTTCAGCAGAATTCATCTAAGGACGTTTATTACCACATCAGAAGCAAAGCAACAGGTTCGCCCTTGTATTAGCAATAAAATGTGATGCACAAAACTGCTGGTAGGAAAGCCCTGACCTCATGACCACTTCTCCATGGTGCAGACGTGGCTGAGATGTTCCATCTGCAAGCCCTGACAAACCTCCCACACTCCTGGGAGACCCTGCTGATTGTGCTGGGGGGGGG